AAGGGGCTTTCCGCGGAGCGGCCTGACTTTTCGCCCCCGGCCAGGCCTGCCCGCTGCCCCCGGCGGCTGAGGGCCCCTCCCGGGATCTGCCTGCTTCCTCCGACCTCGGCGGCAAGGGAGGGCTTGTGGCCGTTCACCCTGCTCGGGCTCGACCTGCCCCTCCGGCGCACCCTGCGGATACAAGACGTCTTACGGTGTTGTAGTGCTGGAGGGTGCCCTGAGCCGGTGTGGAGGCTAGGGCCGTCTGTCTTTGTTGGCTGCAGGGAGGGGGAAATAAAATGCTTCAAGTAGCAGAACGTGGCTTGCAGTAGAGATCCCGCAGTGATCTCCTGGGGGGCAGATCCTCGTGTTACCCTGGACTAGCATCATCTTGCCAGGTGGCAGTACTCAACTCTTGTTTGCTCCTTAAAGTGTACTGCTCTTCGTTTTTTATCTCTTTTCTTGGGGAGATAGAGGGGAGTGTGAGAAGTAGGTCAGGCTAAGGCGTACCAGCATCTGGGTGTAGGTGGGGAAGGGAGACTTTTCTTTGTTGGAATTGTGCAAATTAGGTGAGAGTTTTCTGATTCAGGTTTGAAGTCTCATTCTCAGTTTCTGATGCATTCTGAGCAGAGCACTGTTCTGGGTATGCGTTTGGACTGTCCTTCCAGTTTTACAGGGCTGTTTAACTTGTGTTGTACTTTTGTGTTGGACTGCGCTGCCTAAGCCCATGCCTTGAGATTCAGTTGTCCTTTAGTGCCTGTTTGCACAATGGGAATGTTTTATGTAGTCTGTATTAGTGTTTTTGTCAGGCTCAGGCCACCAAGCTCAGCCCTCGAAGGGTGCAGAACAATTGTGCAATCTTTCCATTCTATATATTGAAAAAACCTTCCTTTTGAGGTTTGACGATCCTTACACCTTGTTCTCTCTGGTCATAAACTATGTGGTGGGAGTTCAGAGCTTGAATCCTTTTGGAGCTGCCCTCAGATCTTGGATTTATAGTAGAAGGACTTGGTTTCCTCTTGCTAGACATCTGGGCTGTTAATTCTGGCTCAGAGATACTTTGTAAAGCACAGCTGACTGCAGGAAGAGAGATCTGCTAAATTAACACCCTGTTCGGGAGGATAAGACTTACACTGCGGATAAATCTTATTTTTTCACTGTGTCCCCTTTCTTCTGATATCGCCTCACGCTTCTGGAAGAGTCTTATCCCTACAGTATTTGTAATTATATCCTCAAGATGACCCTTCCAAGCTTTTTTTGAAAGGAGATGCGAACAAACCTTAGAAATTATAGGAGAATAATGGGAATAAGGGCATGCAGTTGCCAAGGCTCATTGTGTATGGCCTGGTGGTTCCAAATCAACTACTAATGCTGTTTCTTCTAAGCAGTTAGTCATCCCAGATCTTGCTACAGTCCTAATCATCCCCCGTTCTGGTATCAGTGTGGCGAGGTGATATTCGTGCAGTTCACAGGGAGGAAGAAGCAAGTAGGAGCTTAACGGGGAAGAATTTATCCATTTCACTGAAATGAGTAGTTGGTATGTGGGGGTGTGGGAAAGGCAAACAACAGTAAAACCGTGTGGCTCTGTGAAGTTCTTAGTCCCATTCTGAAGGGCTGAGTGATGGCAGCCTGTTTTCCATGGCAGAAATCTCTTTCCTAGTCCTCTTCATTCTACTGTGGGTTTTTTCCCCCCATGAAATGGTGGTTTTCTTATAGTGCTTTTGCTGCGATGAGTTTTGGGAGTCTGAAGTGAATGTTTGCTGGGCTGCTGGAAGGCAGTGCTGAACCTCTGCTATTCTGTTCTTCCAGCAACATGCAACATGGCAGCAGCCATGGAAACTGAACAGCCGGGCCTTGAAATCTTTGAAACGGCGAGCTGTGAGGAGCAGCTCCAGAGAGAGGAGCAGCCAAAACTGGAACCTTTCTATGTAGAGAGACATTCCTGGAGCCAACTTCGGAAACTGCTCACAGATACGCGGAAGTATCATGGGTACATGATGGCAAAAGCCCCTCACGACTTTACGTTTGTGAAGAAAAATGATCCTGAGGGACCTCATTCCGATAGGATCTACTACCTGGGTAAGCTTGCTGTGACAGCCTGTGTCTTGACTAAACAGACGCTGCAGAGGCTGTTCGGGTTTGACTGTTCTTGAGAACTGGGTGTTTCTGGCAGTTAAATCATAATGGATTTCAGGCCAGATTGGCTGGTCAAATGTCATGATCGTGACTGTAATGTCTCATTAAAACTTGCGATGTAATCTTCCACAGAAATGGTGTGGTTGGAGGTGACCCATTAGGCCTGCTAGAGCTGGAAAAGAACTGTGAAACGTCTTTTGGGGCATGTTCCCTAGCTGGGAGGACGTGTTAAATCTGTTCAGTCTGTTTTTTCTCACTCCAAGTATGGGACATCCCCTCTCCAAAAGCTCCGTAGGTTTTATCTCCTTTCTCTTAATTACAACCAGTGGGTAGAACCTTGTTCTTCAAAGTTTCCTTCCAAAGCAGAGATTATAATTTGGAAGTCCTTTGCCTCAGCTACTGATGGAATAGGTTTTCCAGAGATCCTCTGGGGAATAAATAGCAGTGTAAGGCAGGGGCAACTTAGAGAGTAAATATTTTTCTTGACGTTTTTCGTGTTGGTAATGAAGAACTTAATGTAGTTTATTGTTCTTGGCCTCAGTGCCTCACTTCTGCATTGTTTCACTAATTGGTGTTTGCTTGATAGATCTGCATTTCTAAATTGCAGCTGTGCTTGAAGTGATTTGGCACTGTAAATGATACTGTGAGCAACGTTCTGGGTGGCTTTTTGGAGCAGGCCTTATGGTAGAGGAATGCTTTTGTCAAAAGCTGCTCTAGCTGAACTTAAGTCCATGAAAAACTGGGTTAGGGGGAGAAGCAATAGCTGAAGCAAAGGCCTGGGAGCCAGAACCATGTTCTAGCCCCGTTGCTTGCTGCTTAGGCTAGTTGCTTAAGCTCTGATTTGTGATTCACAGAGTCTTTGCACATGCTGTGCAGTGACATAGTTGGAAAGCTGCTGATCTGTCTCTTTTTTCCCCTTTTCAGAGGATGGGTGTCATAATCTTTGACGATGCTGAGCGCAAGCACGGGTGGGTTAAGGCTGACCCCAGCTGGGATGAGCTCTGGTTTCCTATGTGCTGCTTCCTGAGCTATAGGTCAGACCTGGCCTTTCCCGGAGCACATCTGGCTCCCTCTGTGCTGATCTCCATGTGCCTTGGCAGGAGCTTTCAGAAATATCAATGGCACTGAGGGGGAGAAGCAGGAAAGGGATGTTCAAACCTTCCTAAAGACACATTATCTTTCAAACACAAGCTGTGTCATGCTGCATTCCAGCCAGGGGAATTAGCAGAAAGGCCCTTCTTGATTTTAAAAACTTATCAAATAAAAGGGCCCCCAGCCTCCAAGAAGACAGAGATATGCTTCAGGCAGCATGGAGTAAGCCTGGGTGTAGTTCCTTGTTCTCTGCCCTCTCTGTGACTTGCATTTCTGTGAAGCAGGGAATTCCCAGAGCGAGGCTGCAGTGCAGAGGCCGTCAGTACTGTCTCTGGTAGGAAGGGCTGGTGAAATTGTTCCTGGGCATCCTTTGAGAGTGTTTGGGTTATTAACAGAAAGCTAATAGACTTTTTTTTTTCTTTCTCCTCACTTTCACAATAGCAATGTCTGGGGAGAACAGGGAGAACACGCTCTTCTACTCTGAAATTCCCAAAACCATAAACAAAGCTGCCGTCCTGTTGCTTTCCTGGAAGCCTCTTTTGGATCTTTTTCCGGTGGGTCCTGATTTCTTTCTTGCTTCTTGGCAGCGTAGCAAGCACACTGGCTTTGGAGTTGCACCTATAAGCCATCGTTAAAGTTTAGAGTTTATTGTCTTAAACATTTGAAGATTCTCCTTGTACTTGGCTAGCTCTGCAGCCATCTCAAAAACAAGCACAGCTTTCTCATCAGTGTTTGGAGTTACAGCATTTGTGCATCATAAAAACTCTGTGTGCTGGATGATTCCTCCTTTGCCGGCAGAGATTGCAAGTGCTGATTTGCATCAAATTCTCTGTTCTGGGCTCCTGGGGATTGCTGTAGGAGCCTGTAGTCTCCAATAATCACTGTCTTGCAGGGGGAAGTGATGAGTCCCCCTGAGGAGCAGTCAGTGGCTCCGTGACTCATGGTGGAGCAGAGGATCCCTTTCCCACTCACAGGGACATGTATCCCCTTTTCACCTCCGCACATAGCAAGCCCGCACCAGTCCCATCCCATGCACCATGGCAGGCTGGAGGAGGTGGGACAAACCCCATATGGAATTAGGTGTGTATTTCCCCATGTTGTTTCCTGAGGCTGTCAACCAGACATAAAATTCATGCTGTGCTCTCCTCCCACCAGACCACTCACTGTGCATCTTTGTGAAAGTTAGCAAAGGCTCTCCTGCTCGTTCGAGAAATAACAGACCTTCAGTCTGATCTTTCTTATACCAGCGAATACTGGAGATAATGCTGGCCTTCCTATGGGAGAAGTGGCTGTCAGATTTACAGTTGTGTAGGATCTGATCATGGCCTGCACCTGCGTCCACAAGGCACAAGCAGGAGTGGGCCTCTAGCCGCCAGCAGATTTCTGGAGGAGGAGGGTGTCTGCACAGCCATCTGCTCCTGGAAGCTTGGCGTGCAGAGACACTCTGACAGAATAGTAAGGCATGGAGAGCAGAGGGGGTTGATTGTGTTTCTCTGCCCGTATTCAGGCCATCCTGGACTATGGGATGTACTCTCGTGAAGAGGAGTTGCTACGGGAGAGGAAGCGAATTGGCACTATTGGGATTGCTTCTTATGATTACCACCGAGAAAGCGGCACATTTCTGTTTCAGGCTGGGAGTGGAATTTATCATGTAAAAGATGGAGGCCCTCACGGATTCACTGTGAGTTTACTCACCTCTCCTGTTTTCTGAAGTGCTGCTTTCCTCTGGCTAGAAGCTCATTTGACTTGGAGTGAAAGCAGAACGTGATCAGCAGTTATTGCTGCCCTAGCATGGCCAGTAGCCTTGATAACCCTTGAAACATGGAGAAGTCCTCCACAGGGATCCATTTCCATAGTTGTAGAAACTCAGATGGAGAATTGCAAGAAATGGTAGAAACCGCGGCAGCAAGGCAGGACACCAGATTTTGTTGATTTTTTTCATAAGTAGCAATGGCAATAAAAAGCGACATGAAGGCTGCGATGCTCCTTGGTCCTTCACGCTGTCAGAAGTCACGTCAGAGGCAGCTTTTGTTCCCAAGCTGTGGTTTAGAGGTCACTGTGCAGCAGTCAGTGCTGTATGTGTTACAAGATTCAGCTGTGTAACTCACAGAACAAGCAATCTTTACTCTGCTGGTGCTGAAGCTGGGCTTCAAAGCTAAAATAATTTCTTATTAGTATAACAGATGCCTGAGTCTGTCTAACCCTGTTGTCAGGGGGAATTTGCTGTACTCTGAGTTGCTTTTAGAGGACAAGATTGTATGTTCTGCCAGCTCCTTTTTAGGGTGCTGTTTTTAAGAGTGTGCCAGGCTTCTCTAGACAAGCTGCCTTCTGTTTGTGGCTAATCCTCAGCACTGGTGAAAGAGGCCCTGGTGGGATCCGTGCAACCATGGTAGAAGCATAACTTTCTCTATAAAATACCTGCATAGTATTTTTCTGCGTTTAAAATGGATAGATTCCTCTGTTATAAACCTGTGTTGGTTTTGAAGTCGGTGTCTACACTACTGTGGTCTTAGAGACCTTCTGATGATCCAGGTTAGTTTCTGTTAAGTGTCCATGTGTTATCATTGCTTACTGTGCTTTTTGTTTTTTCTTTCAAACAGCAACAGCCTTTGAGACCCATTCTGGTAGAGACCAGTTGTCCAAATATCCGGATGGATCCCAAACTTTGTCCAGCTGATCCAAATTGGATTGCATTTATCCATAGCAATGACATCTGGATATCTAATATAGAAACCAGAGAAGAAAGAAGGCTAACATTTGTGCACAATGGTAATGCATCCTGAATTAAAATCTCTGCACCTCCTCTGCACTTGTTCTTGCTAGACTGAATTAAGCAAGGGCACTAAGGTTCTTCGGAAATGTGGGGGAATGGCCACTGTTTATTCCACCTTGTTTGTCACGTTCTACATTTGCTCTAGTGCACATATTGTGGAATGATTCTTTTCCCTGCCCTGTGGAATCTGGCAGAATGAGTTATTTGTTGAACACATATGGAAGGGCTCTTCTCCTGAAACACAGCGCATTCGTTTTTACTGGAACAGCCTTTTTTGTGTGGAGGAGCTGTGGGCGGAATAGAGCTGGAGGAAAGTTTCTGTTGGTGAAATCAGGCTGCAGGGCCCTTTAGAAACAATATAGACAGTTTCTGAATAGCACTGTGGCTTTCTGCTGGCCCCTCATAGTCATAACTTCGGTCCTCGCTTCTTACCCCCTCCAACCCTGTTTTAGACGTGTATCCTGGAGGAAGGAAAATGGGAAATTGTGGATAAAACACTTTTTAAAAATCGATTGCATTTTGTATTTAAACTATTTCATTAAAATTTGTGTTCAATTAAAATTTCTGCCACTTGATAATAATGCTTTAGCTTATTTAAATGTTAAATATTAAAATATTATGTAAGTACATTAAAAATAAACTGTAGCAATGACTCCTTCTCAGATGATAATTATTTATGGAGCGCTGCTAAGTTACCTCCAGGGTAACAAGAAAAATATTGAAGCCCTATGGATATGTCATCATGTTGAGATGTTATGTAAGTCTGTTACTTTTGGTTTGTACAGTGAATGAAATGCTGATGCTTTCATTTTTCTGAATGTTGATATTTTCAGTTTCAGTTGTTCAGAAATGTTTGTTTGGGGGTTTTTTGTTTGTTGTTTTTGTTTTTTTTTTTCCCTTTGATTTTCTTAAAAGTTGTGGTTCCAATTCACTGCGCTCAGGTAGAGAGAACATTTTCTTTCTTCAACTAGCATATAGAAAATTGAGAAACTAATTGGGTAGGATTAAGAAGGGAGGATTAGATCCTCCCTAAATAAATCCACAGAGCAGGGTGGAAGCAGAAAACAAATCTGCTGAGAAGTCAGATCTATTATTGTGTAATTGTTCCTGGGGGGTGAACTTGGGCCATGTTTGGAATAATGCAGAACTGGTTTGATTCTGCAGTACGTCATGAACTAATTCTTTTGTGTCTTTTTTTAGAACTGGCCAATGTTGAGGAGGATCCAAAATCTGCTGGTGTGGCTACTTTTGTGCTGCAGGAGGAGTTTGACAGATACACTGGCTACTGGTGGAGCCCAAAGGCAGAGCCAAGTAGGTGTGGTGGATCCAGTGTGTCTGACAGGCAAAAGTAGTGGCCTCCCTCTGCAGAGTTATTTTTCCCTTACTTTTCTTTATGCAAGATAGGAACCTTATACTCCTAGCTCCTTTTGAACTATCTGCAGCGGTGAGCATGTTGCAGTGGCCTTGTGAGCGCATGTTACTGGGGGAAGAGACTTTCCTTCTCACACCGGTGACAGGAGTTGTAAGAGTCTCAGAGTGTTTTGCTTGATGAAACATGAATCGCAGACTTTGTTGGATTTTTCGTTATCCTTCCAACCTGCTTGTGCTCCTGAGAGACTATTGATGCCTGTAATAACTGGTAAGGAGAGCTGTTCTGACCAGGAAATGTTGATTCATTCGCAGCACTGAATGGAGGTAAAGTTCTTCGAATTCTTTATGAAGAAAATGATGAGTCAGAGGTGGAAATTATTCATGTCACATCGCCCATGCTGGAGACAAGAAGAACAGATTCCTTCCGGTACCCCAAAACTGGTGAGACCCTGATACTTTACATCTCTCTTTCTGGGAGACACGTATTTTATTCCCTGTGCCTGACAGCAGTGACTCTCCTAGCCTAGAGCAGAGGGGGGTGTTGGAGAGGTGTTGAGTAGTCTTTGAATTGGTGTCCAGGTGGTGGAAATGTGTTTGGGGAACCTGCTGCTGTGGAGGTTAGATCAGTCACTGGTGACTGTGCTGGTATTCCAGCCATGTGGTTACTAAAAGCTCTGAGTCTGGGTGTCTCAGGAGTCGGTGGAAACCCCATCTGATTGTCACTATTTTGAAGCTGCTGTCTCAGATCCTGGCAGATGTGCATTGTTGAGGAGTTGATTCTCATTACAGCGCTGTGTCTCTGAGGGAATAGCTGCAGAATTATGGCCTTTTGATTTTTTGGGGAGGGTTTCTTTTTAGCTGCTGGGAGTGCCCTGGCAGTTCAAGTTCTGAAGGACTCTGGGCTCCGTGATTGCTCTTGAACTTTGAACAACAAACTCAGCATGCTTACAGCCTACCAGGAAAACCTCCTGTTGTCATATTTTCAAACCGTAAATGATCTGGAGACTTCAGTAATAAAGGGGTGAGGGCAGGCTTGAAGCATATTAAGTGGAGTGCCATTGAAAGCAGGGAAGTGGAACTTTAGGCAGACCTGCTGAGGGCTGATTCGCTGTCAGGTGTATGGGGCAAGTTTGAACAGTTCAACCCTTGCTCTTCTGAGATTTCCCTGCTGTTACAGCAGGGCACGTGGCTCACAGATAACAGTGGTTCATTCTCTTTCCTCACTCCTGAAATCTTCGTTTTTTGGAGAAAGAGCTTATGTTTGGCTGACCTTCCCAAGCTGCAGAATCCAGTCAGATCTTGCAGATTCCCTGATCCACAGGGAGAAGTTTTCTGCTTATGATCCTGATTTACTACTTGTTTCAAGGGGGAAGAAAGGCTCAGTGGTAGCCTAGGAAGCATGACATGACTCCTCATGTTGTTTTGGTGCTTGTGTACACCCAGATTTCTGAGAGGGTTTTGTCATAGCTCTGTTCAATGCTAAGTTTCAGCAGTTTAGGAAAATGAGCTAAGCAAAGCCTAAATCCCTTTTTAAAAAAAAAATAATAAAAATCTAGGTTTTCATCTCTAGGCCTCAGTTTCCAGTCTGAGCTGCAGGGGCAATAGCCCTTTTATGTGGGTTATTATGAGGGCAAAGTTTGAGGTAGTGAAGAAAATTCTTCCCAGGGAGAAGGTAAGTACTTAAATAGGCCAGCACTGTGGTGCAAGGCAAGTCCTTTCATCTCAGTGCATCAGTTTTTGTGTATGAACCGGGTTGGTGAAGTGGGAGTACTTCACAGCAGCACTGAGAGTAGTCAGAGTACATGGAGTTTGCCACATGTGTCTTGTGGATCAACTGGCAATGGCTTTATTCTTTACAGTCTGTCTTTTCTTGCTGTGGAGCAGGCCCCAGCATTTAGCACTGCAGGCGCTGTAGAGCGGGATGAGTTGCTGCTTTGTGCAGGCTTTGTGTAAAGAGATAACTTTAGATTTCCAGTGTTCAACACAAATATGTAGCTTTATTATTTTAAGTGCATTAGTCATGGCAATAGGTTTTTTAAGTGTTTAGTTTTCACAGATGCTTCTTAGCACTGGGTCACTTTCTGTGTGCCACTTTGAGAATAACAACCAAACAGTAAACCACAGCTTGCTTTGCTATCCTGAGCATTTATGTCCAACTAGTACGTGCATCCTCGGACTGTGGGAGAGAAGAGTGACTGTGACAGTAGCATGGCTCTTGATCAGATCTATTTGCAGGATTACATCCACTGAATCTGCCTCATCTTTGCAGTTTCTTTATTCCCTGCCTGGTTCTGTGCTGTCTCTTACACATGCAAGTAGGCTATTTGATCAGAGAGCATTCTGCTGTTTGCCTTTTCCAGTTCTGTACGAATAACACCACAAAAATCAACAGTTCAGGTCTGCCCTCTTGGAAGCAACCAATTGGTGTCTAACTGCTCACGTCTGTTTTTATAGGTACAGCAAATCCAAAGGTCACTTTCAAGATATCTGAAGTGACAATCAATGCGGAAGGCAGAGTAAGTTCTATGTTCTGCTTGTTTTCCAAATAAATATAATTTCTGTGATGCTTTTTTTTGGTAAAAATCATTTTCCAGTCTAGTACAAATAAACTTTCGTGGTTTTGATAGCTTAATGGCTTCTCTGGAGGCAGTGGACTTGGCTCGTTCCTATGCAGATACTTGGTGTCTGCGTGTGCAGCAGTATTTCTCAAGGCTGTACATTCCTTCCCTACCACTGGTTTAGGAAGTCAACTGCAGAGCAGAATATTTTAGGTGTGGATGGTTAGACTTTCTTATGTGACATAGCTCTTGATTGGCTGCAGATACTGAGAAAATTTGATTGCAAAGACAATATATCACCTTATAAAAACATGAACACACGGAAAGAGATGAACTTTGCTTTCACCCTGGGATTTTTTAACGGATGCAGAAATTTCATAGCCCAGTCCAAGATCTTTGGGCAGTTGGGACATTAATCTTGCCAAACAGATATGGTAGCAGCCATACATTATTTCGATTCTCCCAGCTCTTGAGCTACTGCAGCCATCAACAGTCACCTGCTGGGATAGCGATGCTGACATCAGCCAGCAAAGGCAGGGAAAGCCATCAGGACCCTTTGGGTACCACTGTAACTTGTTCCCAGTCCCAGCAGGGACAGACTCCAGAACTGCATATCATGAATTAGAACCACAGTAATAACTGGATGTCATGCAGAATGTTCAGCACTGGTACAAATCACGTCCCCTTTGCCTGGGGAAACTGAGTACTCAAGTGGCTTGTCTGAGATGAACAATGGATTTGTGAGCAGCATCCAGATTTCTCAAGTCCCAGTTCTGGCTGTGCTGGTAGCGTGCAGCTCTTCCACTGTGCTGGTGTCTGGCTACAGATGGGGTTGAATCCCCTGTGTTGCAAAGGCTGAACAATCTAAATTGCATGAGCTGCGCAGAAGAAGTCTTCTGTGTCCAGATGCTTGTCTTGCATGAAAACTGGTTGTGGGGGTTCATCTCAGTGTCACTGAACTGCTGCTTTGTCAACAGATTGCAGATGTTGTGGATAAAGAGCTAGTTCAGCCGTTCGAGATCCTCTTTGAAGGAGTAGAGTACATTGCTAGAGCTGGGTGGACGCCAGAAGGAAAATAGTGCGTATGTTAATCCTGTCTCTGCTTACAGGGTTTGGGGCAATACAGTTAGAAGCAGAATGTGGTGGTCTCTGTCTTCTTCAAGCTTAAGCCTGCTTTTATTTTTACATTGCTACGAACTTGTTTGTGCAAAGGGGACGATTTTTCCAAAAAACAAAACAGAGTCCTCCATGTCTCTTTCTCTGGTACCTGGCCCTACTGCTTTGGTATTGGGCACTCACAGCCTTTGATGTATGTGTCCTCTCGGCATCCCTGTGGGAGAGAGTGCAGTGCTATTGTCCCCATTTTACAGATGGGGAACTGAAGCCCAGAGAGGCTAAGTGACTTGCCATGGTCACACAGGAAGTCTGTGGCTGAGGAGAGAAATGAGCCCAGGTCCCCCAGGCCCTAGGCTAGCGCCCTAACCACTGGACCATCCTTGCTGACCAGACTTACTGATCAGAAAACCTGCTGTAAGTGCTACTTACATTTGCATGTCATTTTTAACCCTGTAGATGATGTAGTACAGTGTTTCTAACTCACCAGAAGCTTCTTCAGAATTGCACTTCTCCAGTTCTTGAATCTAAAGATGGCTTTCACCTTTTTAATTTCCCCCTCCCTAAATGTGGAAGAAATGCAGGGACACATTTGCTACAATACCTTGTTTTTGCGGGATTATTGTTAGAGCTACATGCAAAGCCATCAGAAGTATGGCAGAGTCTACTGCCAGTCCATTTAGGTGCCAGTGTTATTCTCTGCCAGGTATAGATTTAAAACGTTAGTATTTTCACAAGTATCCTGAGATTTCAGTTGAAATTTTCCTGCTTCATTATTCCCTCTGATTTTTCTCTTCTCTTTCTCCCCTAAAGCACAATTCAAATCTGGGAGAATAGAATTAATTAAACTTTTGAACCTGCAGTGCTTATGCAATATTGAAATGAAGTGAAATAGGTTCTTGTGTTATGGAAGAGGTTTATGTGGGTGAAATTTTACACGTGGCTTTGTGCTTAATCTGAAATGGAACATTCTTGACTCCCTCAAAATGCCTAGTGCTAATGAGTGTCTGTTGAGATTTTCAGACCTGTCTAATACTCACGGTTGCATTTTATTCTCTCTAATATCTGTCTCCTCAACAGCATCTGGTCCATCTTACTGGATCGCTCCCAAACTCGACTTCAGATAGTCTTGATCCCTCCTGCATTATTCATCCCCACAGAAGATGATGCAATGGAAAGGCAGAAACTTATCGATGCTGTACCAGATTCTGTTACACCTTTCATTATTTATGAAGAAACAACAGACATCTGGATAAATGTAAGAATTTGACTTTCAGCCTTCTCTAACAGTTTGTTGTTCAAGACCCTATTTGTAGCGCTCTGAGCAACGTTGATGTTGCTGTGCCGCCTAGGAGAATTTTCCCATTGTACAAGTTCTGTGCATATTCTGTGTATTCTTCCTGCTGTAAAAAGTTCACTGTATGTAGAGAAGAGAGAGATCTGGGATCTGAAAGCAGAGCTGCTTTGCTTGAGGCTGCACAGCGGTCAGACAGAGCTAGGAGGAGACCCCAGGGCTCTGGCATTCCAGGGCAGCCCCTTGCCCCCGCAGTGTTGCCCACTGACACCATCCAGCTTCTTGGTGCCAGTTGTTCACCACCAGCAGTGCCAACTGGTGAAGTATTCCACAGCCAACAAAGATGTATCTAGGTGATATGGGGTGAACAAGTCCCAAGAGTCTGCTGACAGTCACTAAAACCCCTCCTTAACTACATATGGTCTGGTGAAATACATTTGTGTGTCGTGTTCTTGGAGGTGTGCCCTAGAGTCTGTGCTGTGAGACTGGACACCGGTGTGCTAGGCTAATGCTGTAAAAAGGAGTGCTCTTTACACTTCTGCAGATAAAGATCGATGTCTCTAAAATGACATCCCATTGGAGGTGTGCCAGGGTGCAGGGAGGCCTGGGAACATCATCACTGACAGGTAGTTGGATCTTTCATCAGAGAGCATTTTCATAAAGCCTTCCAGTGAATGATCTCTATACAGCGAGTGCTCCCTATGATACCATGTTTTCTCCTTAGTACTAGTGTGCCTGGTTTCAGAATGCTGCAGTGAGTTGTCCTTTCTCCATTATTTTTACTGGCTGGATTGTTTTTTGACTGGCAGCTCGTGCTGTACAGATAAATGCTCCCAAGTCCCTCAAAAGATTGTCCCTTGAAGCAAGAGATGGCGTCTTCATGAGTGGGAAGATGATGTCAGCTCATCTTTCTTTAAAGAACCCTTCAATCGTGGGCTTCTAGACAGCACTGGACAGAGGAGGCCACTGAACTCTGGCCTCTCTGGGTGTCTCTCATATGCTCTCTGCAGAGCTGGACCCACTTCTGTATCTAAGCTAGAAAGGCAGGCGCAGAAAATCTGACTTAGGCAGTTTGGTGGCCAGAAGTTAGAGTTAGATGAGCAAAAAGCCGGGAGCTGTGCAGCATATGTGGCCGCTGTCTGCAGACACTCCCTGGTTCATAAGCATAACTGGTTCTCCCAGTAAGGGACAGTGCTGCACCCTGCTAGCCTGAGCTGTGTTGTCTGTGTTGAGCAGTAAGAGGAACTTACTATGTGTGACTTCAGTGCCAAAGTCCTCCTGATAACAGTAATCCACTGCTCTGTCTCCCCAGATCCATGATATCTTCTATGTTTTCCCTCAAACCCATGAAGATGAGATAGAGTTCATTTTTGCCTCTGAGTGTAAAACAGGATTCCGGCACCTGTACAAAGTCATCTCGGTTTTGAAGGAGAGCAAGTATAAACGGTCATGTGGAGGCCTCCCTGCTCCAAGTAAGTGAAAGTATTCTTTTGCTTTAATTGGGCATTTGCTGCTGACTAGTGAGGAAATGAATGTCCTTCCAGGTGGCAGGAATTATTGTCTTATTGGAAACTCCTGCTGTTGTCCAGGAAAGCACTTCACTGTACAGTCATTCCTCTTGAAATTGTACAGGGATTATTCTGTATTCAGCATGGCTTAGTTTTGACCCTGATTCTTCCTCATGGACCAGAGGGAAAAGTTTCAAAAAATCAGATAGGGGCAACAAGCTCCCTGTGATACTCTGAAATGCACTTAGTTGGCTTTTCCTTGTCAATGCTGGGACTGGTTACGTGCTGACTTTGCCAGAGGTTAATCATTATAGCAATAACGTGGCTACCTCTGATGTGCAGGGTTCAATGTATCTAATAGATGCACATGGGTTCTGGACTTGATTTTGCAAATGAAACCAGCTTAAGTCCTGTCAGCCTTTACAAGCACATTGATAGCACAGAGGCTGACAAAGAGCATGGTTTGAACACACTGTAAAAAATTCCACGGTGGGCCTCCCTGTCTGAGTGGGCTCACATGTCAGTCCCTTTAAAATCAACGTGTATTCTTGGCAGCAAAGCCTGTGATACGACAACTATTCAGAGAATTCCTCTCTGCTCTCAAAAACAACCATGGTATTGCTGTATAGACAGAGATGTTAGTAGGAGAAAATTACTGGCAGTTGTTGCAAATGGAAATGCAGGAAGAGTCATTTCAAACAAATAAAAAATGGAAGGACCACGTGCTTCTGAGCTGCAGGTAAAGTTTGGTCTTGCTCAGATGCATGATATAGCTGTGTGCAAAGCTCCTGGAGTGGTTTTTCCACAGCATGTATTCTTTAATTTACAGTTTCATGCTGAGATACTTAATTTACACAGGGTGTGTTGAAGGCACTTGCAGAGCTCTGCATGTGCAGAAAAGACACCTAATTTTACTAGAGGTCCTAGTTTCGTGCAACTGTTGGTTTGATTTTTTTTTTTTGCCGATAGCATTATATCCTGGGTTGATTAGATTCTCTCAATACATCCAACCTTCTTTTTCTCACCAAATCTCCCTCATTCTAAGGGAAATGAAGCCATCTTATAAAAGCAGAGTTGTTCCCCACCCTGTTGCAAAATTCCCCATTTTTTGACACCTGAGATTTCCTTTGTACACCCATTTTTTCAGTATGGGCACTATTTCTGTGCAAGTGACAAAATGCTTTTTTTTAAAAAAAAAAAAAAAGACAAGCAAGCTGTCCAGGCCTCAGGCAGGAATCCTGTGAATCCTTCAACATATATTTCGCAGAATGTTAAATAGTACTAGCCCTAACATTTGTCTAGGGAGCTGGCAGAGGTGTGGACCTTCTGCAAAGGCAGGTTGCTCTTGTGTTCAGTCTAGTCAAAAAGCCTGGAAGGAAGAAGTAGTATTGTGTGTTTTGTAAAGTAGTATTACGTGTTTTGTAAAATGTAAAAGTATAAAATCTCTGTTTGCATGTTGGTTATTTGCAGGTGACTTCAAGTGCCCCATCAAAGAGGAGATCGCGATTACCAGTGGAGAATGGGAAGTGCTTGGCAGACATGGATCCAATGTAAGTCTCTGCTCTTGCTGCGTGGACAACCTGCAGGCAGCACACACTGCAGGGAGATGGTGTCTGGGGCCTCATAGATCAGTACATGTTGCATTAGTGAGGCTCTGCTCCCTGAGAAGAGTGGACCCTGCCACTCCCTGATACTGACTTGGAGTGTATGGGTCATGTGGGGTTTTTTGGGTGTGCTTTCATCCTTCTCTACCTCTGATGTGCTATTCTGGACCAGTTTTGGCAGTGTGGGAAAGCAACACAGGCAACATTAGGTGGCTTTCTTTTCCTGCATGTTCCTGTGTGGATCCTTGTCAGCAAGGAATTTTCCCCTCTAAGTTCAGGGCTTAAAGAGAAGGGAGCAAAAATACTGCGAGGCAGCAGTGAGGAAATTCCACGTTTCATGAGCAGCAAGATGTCATGGTGATGTCCAGCTGCTGTTCTGGAATCAAGAGACCCTGGTTGGTGGGATCAGCATAAATCTATTAGCCCAGTCTCTTTTTAGCCAGAATACACAGTGGTTATGTTCCATGTATCTTGTGAGCTTGCACAAGGAGGGAAGGAATGTTCCCCAAACTACTGCTGCTCTTGCTCTGAGCTGGATGAATTCTTTGATGATTTGAATCAAACAGCAGTTCAAGGAGAACTGTCTGTCTGGTTTGGACTTGTAAAGGTCTTTGAAATCCTTCCTAAATGGTAATTAGAAATGGGATTAGGGAATGGGGTGTGCACGTTGACGTGCATTTGAATCTGTTCTGCTTTCTGCTCAAAAAGAAGGGACAACTGAGGAATATTTAATATGGCAGTGGTTTACGGTCAGCTGCTGCTCTCTTGACTTCCTTCTGGGGTGGTTTATGTCATATGTAATTTGGGAAAGGGTCTGAAAAGTGAGGAGGTGACAAAGAATGGGGGACAGAGTTATTTAGCATAGCAAACAATAGCGGAGACGGGGAAGAGTAAAAGACCTGCATGAGAGTGCTGAGCAACAAGGTGTGAAGTGCAAATCATAACTGACGGAGAGTAAGAACAGTCATTTGGCTTACTCCTTGCAGTTGTTGGGCTACAACTCGGCTTTATGGAGGTGGGGCAGGGTGGCCGGGGAGGAGAGACTTGGAGGTGGTAGAACTGTGTATTGTTTTGGCAAGGAACAATATTGAGGGATGTGTTGTTTGTTTTGTTTTTGACAGATCTATGTTGATGAAGCCAAAAAACTGGTGTACTTTCAAGGCACAAAAGACTCGCCTTTAGAGCATCACTTGTATGTTGTTAATTATGAGAATCCTGGAGAAGTAAAGCGGCTGACAGAACATGGTTACTCTCATGCCTGCTGTGTCAGCGAGGTACCTGTCTGCCTCTTAGGCCCTGTGTAGGCAGGGCTGGCTGGGTGTGCTGTGGCGTATCACCAGTCTTGTCCTTCATCAGTCAGCAGACAAGGCTGTATTTGAAAATAACAAAAGCAGATTTCACACTGTGTTGTGTGCTCCTGAATGTTGTGCAGTGAGTGCATAAGCCCACCCAGGAAACCAGATGTGACCTCCCGGGTCAGTTGCTCTTCAGCTCGCTTCAGGCAAAAGGAGCCAGAGTGAATTGTTTGAAACTGTTTGAGCCTGACTCTTTTTGCCTGAATCGGGCTATAGAGCAATCACCAGGGGAGATGAGCCTGTGGCAGTGTTGGGGGGGTTCCAGGCATATGGGGCAGCAGCCCGTTCAGCTGGGAATGCTTTACCCAGAAGAGGATGTGTGACAAGGTCGTCATGCCACTGTTGGTTTGCAGGTGTATTTTTGGCTTTGGAGTGTTAATATCTGAGTCTTGCTAAGGATTGTAGCTTCTCAGAGTCTACCTGCTGTTACCAAAAGTGCTCAGACTTCCTAGTTTAATTTGGTCGATAAGCATCTTCTGAAAGATCTAAATGCAGAAAGAAATTACCACTTTTGCTTGTGCCTCTGCACTGAGGTGTTCAGGGTAATGTTCTTTTTCTCCCTAGGATTGTGACATGTTCATCAGCAAGTACAGTAATCAGAAGAACCCTCACTGTGTGTCACTTTACCGACTGACAGGACCTGAAGATGATGCAGCTCACAGGACAAAGGAATTCTGGGCTACCATCTTAGATTCAGCAGGTAATGGCATGAATGAGGAACTGGAGAAGGACAACCAGGATCATAGAATGAAAGATTTCCCAGAATATGCTTGCTCGAGATTTGCTTTTGTGGGTGACTAGACTTGTCTCTGAAACTCAGGCTTGTGTGAGGAGTTCTTGGAAGTACAGGAGTGACATTTTCAGCTCAGCAAGAAATGGGTATAAACTGACCATAAAGGAGTTTAGAGTGGAAATTACCAAGTTTCTACTGCCAGAGCCAGTAGAAACTATAGACGCCAATTTTAGCATCAGGGGAGGGGTTTAAGTGCGCTCATTTACTCTGTGCTATACACCTGCTAATGAGCATGCTTCTGGGGAGGGACGTAAACTTCTTAAATAGATGTGTGCTGCTGCCTACTCTTGTTTCTGTGAGACAGCTGTTGGGCTTTTATTTATCTGTTGTGTTTCTGTTCCCTTTCATCTTTCCTTCCCTAAGGCATACTCCGTATCCTGTGCTTTCCAGGTATTAATGTAGTGAGTCCTAAGCGGGGTTAGGAAGGGATGGGATAGCTGTAATGGCTGTGTCAGGGGAGAAGAGTTGCTGCTGTTCACAGGAGGGCAGAGATGGGAGCGTTATAGGACTGAAAAAGCTTCCCTAGGGCTGGGGCATTTCCAATCTCTGCCTGGTCCCAGCCACATCCACTGGAAAGCGTGGGAGAGCTCCACTGGATTTGCAGCGAAATTGGTGATGGGGCAGGGCTGAAGTAGAGCTGTGTTATCGATCCATTCCCTTTTAAACCAGGCTCTCTGTTCCCTCCCATGACAGGCCCTCTTCCCGATTACATTCCCCCAGAAGTGTTCTCCTTCGAGAGCTCCACGGGGTTTACGCTCTATGGGATGATGTACAAACCTCACAATCTGCAACCTGGAAAGAAGTACCCCACTGTGCTCTTCATCTATGGAGGTCCTCAGGTGAGTGCAGTGTGTGGGTGAGCAGCAGGGTGGGCTGGCCTGGGTCAACCCGTGCTGAGGGTAGCGTGCAGCCTGTTTGATGAGTAGCTGCTTGGCCAAAGGTGCTGTAAGCAGTCATGATTTCCAGGTCATAGATCGAGGCACTACCACTTGTCTGAGAACAGATGTGGAGTAGCAGAGCTGGAACTGGGAGAAGGGGGAGTACAAGTCGTCCCTGTTCTATCTCCCCCTCCTCTATAGGGGCTTCTGTTCTTTGTTTCCACTTCCCGCATGTGGATGTGAGGGGAGCTCTCTGTTAGCACTGACCATTACCAGCCTGTGCTTAGGAGAGCTTCCTCGCCAGTTGTCCTTCTCCCACTGATGAACAGGTGAGCCCCTCAGCCCTGCTTTGGTTCCCTCAACTCTGCTGTGCCCTGCTGTGGTCCAAGGCAGCTGGAGCGAGACTTGGTGAAGAGAAGGATTTTTCTCCTGGGAGATACCAGAGAGAGTGGAGAGCAGAACTGTAGGTTCGTGGCTGGGTTGTGCAGTCAGCAGCCACCCCTCTTGCTCCATGCCGCAGTGAACCTCTGTTCAGCTCTTTGTATCTGTGACACAGAATGGCTTCTTACTGGGTGAAGGGAGTTTATTTGATAGCAGACCACAAGCAGGGAGAGGGAATCCTGCAGCAGGGAGGAAGGATCACGAAAACTTTACATTATAAAAATGTATAAAACATTTAAAGGAAGGTAAATATAAATAAAATCTGAAATTGGATTGAGAGGTGACATCTGGTTTCCATTACATATGTGGTGTCATTGCTCTTCTATTCCAGGTACAACTAGTGAACAATCGGTTTAAAGGAATCAAGTATTTCCGTTTGAACACTTTGGCCTCTTTAGGCTATGTTGTTGTTGTCATTGACAACAGGGGGTCCTGCCACCGAGGGCTGAAGTTTGAAGGAGCCTTTAAATACAAAATGGTAAGTGGAACTCTGAGCCTGGCTCTTTGTTTTCAGCCAGAGACAGGTTTGAGTCCCAGTGTTTTCTGAGCCTAAGCATGGAATTGGCACAGATGCCCAGCATTGTCTGTGCGATGCTGCCTAGGTTTGGGGAGGGGAACTGTGCAGAGTTGAGCAGTGTGGATTGGAGGGAGGAAAGACGCTCAATGTGGGAAAAATACAATGTCAAGGTTTGAGGTTGTGAACCAACTCCAGCTTGGCAGACATAATGCAAGATAGTTCATAAGGGGGTCTCTGACTCCCACCAGAAACGCTTTGCTGTGCACACAAAGCACGATAGTTTCATTTACAGCATGAGTTGCTATTTAGGGCAGTTCCTGTGTCAGGCTGGAGAGGGTGAGTGCGTTTGGCCGTGTGTACAGGCAGGGAGAGCCTGTGCCAGGCTCTGCTGGCTTTGCAACGTAGCGCGCTCTGTGTTGGGAATGGCATTTTCATGCTCGAATGCAGCCTTGCTTTTCTAACAGTAAAAAGCAAAACCACTGAAAAATCTGAACTTGTCCCCAAGCAAGGAGACAAAGGAAGAAAATGATACTTAAGAGGTGGGTTAGTATATATTTATTGTCTTATGGGGAAAGCGGTCATCTTTCTGTAACATGCCTAGTGCAGTGGAGTGCTGGTGTGTGGTTGGGTGCTGCACAAACAGAAGCAGCAAAGGTCTGAAGGTGGCTACCTTTGCAAATCCTGAGACTGTAGCTTTTGTCTGTAGCTAACAAAACTTATCTTTTTCTCTCCCCTCCCAGGGACAAATAGAAATTGATGACCAAGTGGAAGGGCTGCAGTATTTAGCATCGCAGTATGACTTCATTGATTTGGACCGTGTTGGCATTCATGGCTGGTCCTATGGAGGCTACCTCTCTCTGATGGCTTTAATGCAGAGGTCAGATATCTTCAGGGTATGTTCATACATTGAGTACTTACTCTGGTGGTGCAGACAGAATTTTTCCCTTAATCGTGTAACCTCCCATGAGTGTTCACAGCACAAAGACTTTTGAGCTTGTTCTAGACAAGTGAGGACACAGTGCTGTGCCTGTTTTCCTCAAGACTCTTCTATTTGGGTAACTTCAGAGATTTGCTTTTCTAGCAAACGTTTCTTCCATGGTATTTCTAATTGGGCTTCCAGGCTTTGGTTATTTTTTTGATATTTCACAGACAACAGATCTGAAAAGCTATTCACTCTTTAAAGCTAGTGCCTGCTAACAAGGCACAGTACCTTTTAAAACCAGCAGTCAATGGGTATTGCAAGGGCAGTTATAAGTTATGGTGTGACCTTAGGTTGTCTCCTCAGTTCTCTCTGCTTGTGTTTCTGTGTGAAGCCTGGGGATGAGATGCTCTTCTTCTGTAAGCCTGTTGTCACTCTTGGGCTCTGAGAGGTGTCTAGGACTGGTATTTGCATTGAGTCTGTACTGGTACAGCTATAGGACTCAGCTTTTCAGAGGCAGTGATACCAGTACAGCCCCAGTAATTAATACTAACAGAGATGCCTCAAATCAGAAAATTGCGTTTGCGCAATTAAGTGCTGCACTTTCCTACCTCTCCACACAAATTTGCAGCTTTTCTCCTCAGGAGAGTGTGTTGTGCGTACTTGAGTGCAAGCACCCCAAAGAGCGCGATGTGACTGCACCGTCACTGTGCTTGCTTCCCCCAGCTCCAAAGGAGCTAGACGTAATCTTGACCTAATGTGAAGGTGTGGTGTTGTCCATGAGACCTCCTGCATTAATGCAAGCAGGGTCCTTTTGGACAGGACACACTTGCCGTCCAAGAAGCCTGGCATGTAAGAGGAGTGTGGGGCTGTTTAGGTAGGCCAGTTTTACTGGAATATCTGAGAGCCTGTTCTTGTGATCTGGGATGAGGAGGAACAACTGTTCATCTCATTCAGCTGAGCACAGGATATTCCCTCTCTGGAACTGTGTAAGAGAGCTTTACACTGTTGGACTGTTGAGCTTGCAATAACTTAACTGGGCTATACCAATCTCAGGTCACCTATGCTGAAGGTACCTTATGTAGTCTCAGCTGTTGCCCACTTTGTGTCAGCCAAGCTCTTTGTGCTGTGAACCAACTAAGGGAAATGATCTGGCTGAAAAATGACGCCTCCTTTTCTTCCTCCTCCCCTCTTTCCTGCCCTGAGAGAATAGTTTCTTTGCAGACTGATCAAATTGCCCATGCTGCTTCGTGGCAGTGTGTTTTGAAGGAGCCAGGAGGGAACCTGGGGATGGGGAGAGGTACTGAAAAGAGTTTCTTGTGATTACGTGACTTTAAACCACTATAGTAAATGGCAAGGCTGCTGTTGGGCAGTATCTACTCAAAAGAAGAGATGTGGTAAAAGCTGGATATTGCTCTTGGGATGTATTTTGTTCTTTATAGCTGCTCTTGCTTTGTCTAAGTCCGACTTGTGTATTCCTGGGAGGTTTAATAATTATTTGTCTCAAGTCTTTAAGGATTGTTGTAGTTTTTACTTTAAAAAATGCTTGCCTTGCAAAGGGCTTTTTGGTGGGGGTTTTTTCCTCGTTGGTCTTTTTTTCACAAGTTTCTCTGCAAGCTGGTGGTAGCTATGCAAGGTAGTTTGCTGAGTCCTAGGGAGCTGTTGATCCCAGTTTCTGTTAGACATTCCAATGAGCAAAGGTTTTGCAACGCGAAAGCAGAGCACTCTGCATTTTGGCCAAAATCCGCTTCCCTCAGCAGGCCTTGCAGCGTTACGTTTAGTGTTGCTTCTCATTTGTCTGTAGGATCTTCCTAGTTTTGAGCAGCTACCTTGTTTTCAGCACATGCAGGTTGTAGCTGAACTGTGCTGATACATATGAACTGTGGGAGGGAGAGTGAGAATTGCTTTTTTTCCACTGCAGGCTGTGGCTTGTAAACTTACAAGCGTGTTTGGGGCAATTACAGTTGCACTGGGACAGAGTTGTGGGAGGGAGGGAGGGAGGGACATCCCCAGATCAGGGGCTCAGGTGTTGTCATTCCCCTCCCGATGCTGACAGCCCTGTTGAACTTGCAGGTTGCCATTGCCGGAGCACCAGTCACGCTGTGGATTTTCTATGACACTGGTTACACAGAGCGCTACATGGGCCACCCGGATCACAACGAGCAGGGCTATTACCTAGGTTCAGTGGCCATGCAAGCTGAGAAGTTTCCTTCTGAGTAAGTTTGGTTCTGCATCTTGCCTTCTACTTTTCCTCCCAGGAAAGTTTAAGCCCTATGGACACATTTTTATCTCCTTGTTCTTGGCAAGTGAATCCTGGAATCACAAATGCTAGTATTAATAATGAGAAAAAAATAAAAAGACCAAAACCCAACACTAAAACTTAATATTTGAATGAACATTTACATAATGACAGGGCATTTTGTGTAATACCTTTTATACTAGCTGTAATTAAAGACTATCTTTTATGTCTAAAGAAATCACAAACATATCTTCAATTATGATTAGCACTTTAGAACCACATGAAGCTAGACAAAAATTAGTTGATCAGGGTGCTTTTCTGCATGTCCTAAGGCTGTATCAGCACAGAGTTGTCTGCAGAGCAGACTGAGAGCATGGGCTTTCTTGCCAAAGAGCTGAAAATCAGCAGTGATTCTGAGCAAGTGTTAAGCTGTTGTATTGTCCAAGCTAGGAAATACTTCTGAGAGTAAAGAAGATATATGGATAAAATATCTGACCATGATGTGTATATGCAGGAAGGACTTTTAGAGAAGGAAAGAATAGGCTTGGGAGACATGTCCCTCGAGGGCAATTTACAATCGTGAAATCACTGTCTTCAATGCAAATATTTTTTTCTATTGAGTGTTTTTGAAGGGATGTGTGTGGACTGTGAAATGACTGGTGGGTTCTGGGATGCTGTCTAGAAATGTTTGTCTCTTGCTTTTCGTAGACCCAACCGTTTGCTGCTGCTACACGGATTCTTGGATGAGAATGTTCACTTTGCACACACTAGTATTTTGCTCAGCTTCTTAGTGAGAGCTGGGAAACCATATGACTTACAGGTAAGGCCAGAACCAGGATGTAAAGGTAATGTGTCTGTCTTTGACTGAGGAGTCCAAAATTGGAATTTGTAACATGGCTGTGCTGGGCAGCTTAGAATTCTAGGATAAAACTGCAGTATTTGAGCCTAACTTTTTTTTTAAAAGGAAGATTGTATTAGTAAACAAAAAAAAAAATATTAGGCAAATGAGCAACTAAGAGCAGTTGAGGCTGCTTCTGAGGAGATCTGCAGTTTGGAGGCAGTACAGCAGTGTTTGCGCAGTATGGAACAGGGTTATGCATTTAATTAAACCCTGATGGTTCTGTGCAGATGTAGCCCAGGTATCCCACACTGTGCTGCAGAACTGGGAGCGTGCCGATTCACCTGATGGGTTTGGACAGGATCTGCCTCTGTTCAGCCAGGCTGATCACCTCCAGCACAGCACTAGCTGGATTAAGGGGTGCAGTGGGTCGTCTCTGGGTTCAGGCAGTGGAGGATGGGGTGTATTAGCTCAGGTGCAGAGTTAATGCAGGGAGATTCCATGAACATTTTGAATGTGGCTCTGGGAACCAGTTTAAACGTCAGTGCCTGCAACTCTTGTGGATACTTACAACTTTATTTTGTATTTTAGATCTACCCTCAGGAGAGACACAGTATAAGAGTACCTGAGTCGGGAGAGCACTATGAACTCCATCTGCTGTATTACCTGCAAGAGAATCTGGGCTCTCGTATTGCAGCCCTGAAAGCAATGTAACTGACCTCTGCAGAATTCTGCTCCACTGGCTGCTTTACCCAACGAGGAGATGTAGGAAACTAGAGAAAATAGGATGGAACATTGCATTCTGGTGCCTGCCACATGTACACACACACACACACAGAGACACACACAAACACAGACACACAGACACTTTTTTAAAAGTAAATTTGGTGCCATACAAGAAACTAAAGTACGGTGACCTAATAACTTTAAAGGTTAAGGTGTAAATAAAATCAAGTATCTGTGGTATAATGCAGTACCATGGGTGTTCTCTTGGGGGAGGAGCTGAAACTGAAAATAACATACTTCTACAGCACCAGATCTTCACTTTTTAAAAGCATTATGACATAATTGATGTATTTTTACAGTGTGTTCATTGGTATCTTATTACATAATACTGGATGATTTACTCACTACACAGCAAGAGTTTACCTGAATGGTTACAACTTGTATTACATTTTAAATGCTATCATATAGCTTTTATGCTTCCTGAAAGGGATGTGTCTCCTTAGAAGCTGGTCACAAGTTGGACACATCACCTATCTAGATGTTAATTGTTTTTTAAGAAGAAAGACTTTTAAGCTGCCTCCTAAATAATTTAAATTTTGGATTCAGTTCAGTTGATGCCAGGTTCTTTTCAATGATTTCTTCTCTCCCCAGGATAAGTCATACTCTTTTTGGTTTGGTTCCCCCCGCCCCCGCCCTTTGAGCAGCTTAAGATCCTATCCTGATTGTACTTGATTTCAGTGGGGAGGTGAAATGATATTTTACTGTGATATGGGCATAACAGTCTTTTATTCTGAGATGCAAATTAACTTCAGTCAAAGAGCTAAAACTCTAAATTTTAAAACAACATTAAAAGTGCAGCCCATTTCTCACTGACGTTTTTCCCTGACGTTCATTCTGGAGCTGGTTTTGCAATACTGTTTTCTTACCATCACATCAGCATGATGTAGGTATGTGCATCCTGTTCTGATTTCAAAATTCGATAGACTCTAACTTGGAGGTCTACAGAGGATTTGGTGAGGAGGGACGTTACGAACACTACATGTGAGGCGATACGAACTGTTTTATTGAATTTCCTGCTTTGTTTGAGGGACTGCTTCCCAGGCGCGTACTCTGTTCGGTCCTCCATTCCTGGGTCCTTTCTAGCACTGTTGTATAGCATGCTTATGATGCTGTATTTGAGAAACCACCTTCTGTATAGCTTAAGGTAACCTCGCTAAGCCTAAAGGATATGCAATCCCAGTTGTGGTTTTGGTAGTGAGGTTTTAACTAAGTGGCAGGCTTGGCTAAAAAGCATCATAAGTTTGTGAAGTCACAACTTGCAACAGGTCGTTTAGGGTAGAAATCCATAGCAAAATGATTCTCTTTAATCCAGGAAATTCTCCCCTTGGGGCTTGCCTCTGAGACTCCTGTAAGTTTTAATGGTTTTCTTAGAAACCTAAGAACTTCCTTTTCTTTCTGTTTTGGTGCTAGAGAGAAAGCAGAGCATGATTTTCTTTTCATCTTCTAAAAATCTGGAATCACTCTCAGTGTTTTACGCTCTTAGTACACCACATCTTGTAACCTTGTATTTTCCTTGCTTTTGTACTGTTCAGCTTGATCCTGAAACTCCGGGATTTAACACAATCTGGCTGTATTGCATCAAACCGCATCGTTTTTCAGTTGTTAGGCTGCTGGGCATATGCACCAAAGCTAGTGGAGCTGGTGCAGTTACACGGTTGTAAAATTTGTGTGTGAGAACGGGGTCTGGTTTTTGGGTTGCACAAAAGATAGCCGAAGCAAACAGGCATGCAGTAAATGCAAATTTCCCTGAGGTGGGGATGTTTGGTTTGGGCTGTTTTCTGGTTTTCAGATCACAATGATTATAAGTGGATCAGCTAAAATACCATTAGGAGGTGAGTAGCAGGCTTACAGTTTTATTTTGGGAAGGGCATGGCAGGGAAGGAGCCCAGCTCCTATAATGTCTTCTCTTAGCAGTTAATTGTGACTGAAGCGAATGCAGCATCCCTGTGGAGTGTGCTATAGTCAGTACTGAGAGACAAATAGGTGTGCTGCTGCATTTGAACTAGGGCAACAGGGCAGTGAGTAGAGACAACTATAAGCTGTTACTATGGAATTCCATTGTGTTCCTTATGTGTTTATGCTGTATTATATATACATATATCTATATCTGTTCATATATACATATATGTATAAAATTACACGTGGATAGTATCACCTTTTCCAGGGTTGTTTATATTTTGTTCAATATTAAATTAACTTGCGTTTTGGGGTGGTTTTGTTCTTTTTCTAGAGGTGATTACCCTTGAATGTAAATGTATATGATTTTTAAGATGAAATTGATCTTTTTGTTTAAAAAACAGAACAAAAATGGCCTTCATCAAACAGTGCTTTTTTGGGGAACTGAAGAACTAAATGTTATGCAAGTAAATCAGGCTAGGTTTTGATTTAGCACAGGATGTGATTGTAAGTGCCGACATATAACTTTTTAATAATCCATTCTTCCATTGTTTTAAATATATATTGAAAAGCTATTAAAGTACAATGTACTGCAAGTACTCTATTTTGCAACACAAATTATGTATTTCTTTCTTTCCTACAATTTTTTTTTTCTTTTTACAGTAGTTAAGCACTTTAAAACCCCATGCTCTCTTATCCCGTGGAAATGCTGGGAGGATTTATCATCAGATTTTTGTAGTTCTTATAGGTGAAGGTGTGAGAGATCCCTTATACAAGGTCTGATCCGGCCCTACGCAGTCAACGACTAAATTCCCAGTGACACGGGAAGAAGGGCAAAGCCCATCGCAATTGAGACTGCAGAGGTAGGAAGGTGTTAGTGCTGAGGACCGTTGTATACTGATACATACAGTTTTGGGGGGAGTTGTAGTCCCGCATCTCGTATGGTGAAGTGTTGGTCTGGCATTGGACCAGAGCTGGCATGGAGAGTGGTGGGGTTTTGCCCTGCTCTGCACCGCTGGAGTCGCCCGCTCTGGGACAAGGTCATACCTTATAGTCCAGGAGGTGGTACTGTCACTCAGGAAGAAGTTTCCAGCCTGTTTGATATTTGGGATTATACTTTGTCACTTCCTGCATGTTAAAAATTGTCTTGGTTAATGTGAGTTTTTAGCAGAACTAGTGAGATCCAGGGGGAGCACATGCAAGGGAGGTTGTGGAGCAAAAACGTGAGGAGGAACCATCCCTGTGGCTCCCAAAGGAGACGTTAGTGTGTCCCTTTGGAGGATCTTCTGCCTTCAGCAAAGGTCTCCTCTGTGCCCAGCAGGACACCTGCTCTGAGCAGGGGCAGGATTGAGCCTTCATTGCGTGGTGGATATTAGTTGCAGAGGTGTCTTTGAGATGAATGTTTTCATTTCATATATTTTAAAATATATATATGAAATATGAGGATCTGAGCAATGAGATACTGAAGTTGTTGAGTGTTGATGCCGGCAGTTTCTTCTCATTTGCGGTGGCTGGGATTGGTTTTACTTACTTCTGGTGGAAGGACGTTCTTTCGCCTCGTTTTAATGCAGCTTCCAGTAATTACTCTTGAGTGTGCGATGTGCAAAGCTGTTGGGTTTCACCCTTTGCATTGGAGTTGCACCCCCTACCCCACTTTATTTTCAATTCTCTCTTTTTATTCAGAACTAAGTAGAATTAGTATCTACCCAGAACTGCTTAATTTTTATAAACTCAATAAAATAATGAGTTCAAAGCACCAAGTAAAGCTTTGAAAATCAACTAACTTCATTATATTAGAATGGAAAATGCATTCCCTACTTAGTAGTGGCATTTGGGAATAAGCTATGGAAATATTTTCTGAGCAGGATGGTGCAGTAACGCTTTAACCCTGGAGCACCGTACGTCTGAGCCTGTGCAGGAAATTAGGGAAAATTCACAAACTCTGAGCCCGCGGGTCCCAACCCTTATTCCCTACCAGGAAAAGTGGGTTGTGTTTCCGCTGTGTGTGTCCGTGTGTAAGGCAGACTGTTTTGGTGCTGGCATGACGCTCAACTTTTGACGAGGCAATAATAGAGTATAAATAAATGAAATAATCAGCCAGATGAGGACACTGCCTTGAATTGCCTGTTTACTTGAGTACCAGAACCCTGTAAAGACTTTTTGTGTGCCCCTCACCATTCTCTGGGCCACTCCTTTGGAAGGAGAAGAGAGATCTTCATGCAGTTTTTACTTGGATGTTCTGCAGAGTAGAAGTTCAGGTGTTTAATTTTAGAACATGAAGTGCCTGCTGTTTGCGTTAACGAAATTGCATGTCTCACTCCAGTGGGTTTATTGGTCTCCCTCCCTCCCCCACCTTTCTAGCTACATGGCTTTTAATCATGTAAAGTGGAGACATTAGTTTTGCTGCATTTTATTACAAAACCTTTGTTGCAATAAAGATGCTGCTAAATAAATTGAATTAAATGGGTTTTTTTCCCCCCTATTTTCAACTGTCTCTCTTCTTGATTTAGTAGAATTTGTGCGTAATTAAATCTCTTTCCTCGCTACGCTGTGGAAAGCAGCAATGATGGAAAATATGTGCGTGTGTTTTAAATACACGTTGGGCGTTTAGCAAAAGCATCTGCGTGTTTGGTTTGGTTTGGTTTTCTTTCCTGTCCGTTGCGGTTAGGTAGATTGATACAAACGGGAAGATCAGGCATTCGCTTGGCATAACTACATTTCCCCTCCTAAATGTCTCCATATGAATGCTGTTAACGGTTTTCAGCAGCCACCAGCCGGAGCTGTCGCACCGGGTACGGCACAGCCGCAGCTTCGCTGGCCAGGATGAGCCAAGTGCCACCGGGGAGGAGGTGGCCCTGGCACCAAGGCAGAAGGACAGAGGGACCTGTGTGTAGCAGATGGGCTCTGCCGGGAGAAGAGATGTCTCTTCATGCAGTCACCGCATGCTTGGCCTCATGTGTGTCTTGGTGAGCAGTATGGGCTCTGCAGGCAACCCGGTTCTGCTTAGTGCTGCCCCAAAAGGGCTGCAGGGGGGCTCAGGGCAGTCACGATTCATGGTTTTATTCATTCGTTCCTGATTTTTCACCCACGGGGAAGCACCCCCTGTTTTGGTGGCTTTCAGAAATAAGCTGGGAACTAACGGCGTGTTGATACGTTGCATTGTGTCTCCTGGGGTTTGTGTAGGCCCTACCATAACTTGACAAAGCTTCCCCAGGAGCCTTCAGCGGCCCTTGTGCAACGCAAGCTGGGACACGAGTGTCACACCAGCAACTGGCTGTGGGCT